TCTGGTGCAGCAGTGGTTTTCATCGTTCTTTCTGTTGTTTCTGCAGATTCAGTAGTCATCTCTGGKGCRGAAGTGGTTTTCAATGTTCTTSCTGTTGTTTCTGCAGATTCAGTAGTCATCTCTGGTGCAGCAGTGGTTTTCAACGTTCTTGCTGTTGCTTCTGCAGATTCAGTAGCCATCTCTGTTGCCGCAGTGGTTTTCATCGTTCTACCTGTTGCTTCTGCAGATTCAGTAGCCATCTCTGTTGCCGCAGTGGTTTTCGTCGTTCTTCCTGCTGTTTCTGCAGATTCAGTAGTCATCACTTGTGCAGCAGTGGTTTTCAACGTTCTTCTTGTTGTTTCTGCAGACTCTGAAGTAGTATCCGTACTCTCTGTTTCAGTGCTTGCAGATGGACTTGCAACAGTAGTACCAGTACTGTCTCTTCCTGTGCTTACAGATGAAATTGCAGCAGTAGTACCTGTACTGTCTGCTTCTGTGCTTACAGATGGACTTGCAGCAGTAGTACCAGTACTATCTCTTCCTGTGCTTACAGTTGGACTTGCAGTAGTAGCGGATGTGCCCTCTGGTTTGTCTGAAGTTTTACTAGTAGAAGTAGGTGAGACATTTGTAAAGTCTGTACTGATGCCCGTAGCTGGAGGAGTATGATCAGTCCCTAGAGAAGATTCCGTTGAAAGAGATGCTGATGGAAAAGTAGTTGGAGGTGGTTTTGTGAAGTCTGTGCTGATACCCGTGACTGGAGACGTAGGTTGTTCATCAGTATTGTTTTGAGTATAATGTTGTGTTGCAGATGTTTTCCTGACTGCTGGTAGGTTTCTACTTTTTGTGGTATCTAGAGATATGGTCGTAGATTTCGAAGTAGATACTACTCTTGGAGTAGACTGAGTTATTGGGGCCCCAGTTGTTGTCGTAGATGATGTTGTGGTGGATGGGATGGTTGTTGGTTTGATTGTTGTAAAATATTCCTGTAAAATAAAGGTTTGTAATAAATTGTAACAAATAGCCATTTTTCCAGTAATCAAATTTTATCGAATCGAGGTCGCGCCCTTGAATTAGTGTGGTTTTGCGGAGAAACACAGAAAACCCGGGGGAAAACCCCAAATCCAGGGAGATGCAAACAAACCTTTTAATGTGAAGTGTTGTGTCGAGTCCAAAAATCGAATGGAAGAATAGAGGTAGTAAGAACTACGGCTACATACCAACTATCCCACATGCTTTAGAAGTTACATATTATATTTTAGCCAGTGGCTAAAAGCCTTGTTCACACTAGCGTCGTAATCGTAATCATAATCATGATCGCAATCGTAAAATTCAGTCTGAATCAAAGATAGTAGTCTTGAGCGCCGTCGTAAGGTGCATCGTAACAGCGTCGTAATCGTAAGCTAAGATCAGAAGGTTTTGTTTCCTTACGACTACGATTAGGATTACAGTCACTTTGCGATCGAGTGTGAACCAAGAAAACGTAATCGTGATCATAATCGTAAGGATTGACCAATCACCACGCTTGTTACGATCATCCATGATGATGAATATTTCGAAGCTGGCGGGAAAATAGCAAGGGAGCAAGGCTTGCGTATTGATTTACACTAGAACGTAACCTTCGATTGTGACTACGATTACGACTACGATTACGATTACGTACTTACTACGCTAGTGTGAACAAGGCTTAATTAACAAACCTAAGGCCGTCGCTCCATGTTTGAATTGGAATTGAGGTGATTTTTGAAAAGTGTGAAAACCCTCGAAGCAAAGGAGAGAACGAACTCGAACTTTTACCTTCTTGCAGTCTTGACTCATCGCTTCTTCTGGTCGTCCATAATATTTTAGTTCAGCTATGTCTCCCTGAGTGAAAGATATGATACAAGAAAGTTATGTTTCTTTTTCACAGACTGTAGGTTCAAATTACTGTGCGGACACACTAACCAGGAACACTTGAATAAACTTGACCAATCAGATAACAGTAAATTAGACAGATATTGAACTGATAACAGCGTTATCACGTTCACACGCTCTTATTATATCGATGCGCTATCTAATTGGCTGGTTAAAAATATTGAACAAATGTAGCAATATGATTGGTTAATGATACTAGTTTATCGAAGTGGTCCCGGTTGCAGTATCCGCACAGTAATAAAGAGGGAAGACATTCTTTTCCCACCAGCAAAGCGGATTTAAAGCAATCAGAGGTTTCGACTCCCTTCCTAAAGTCTTTTAAATGTTTATTTTTTGCGCGTTGCGTAGTGCAAATTGTGCAGCATCGCTTTGAAAAGTTTTACGCGCCAAAAAATCTGATTGCTTTTAATCGGCTTCGCTAGCTAGCGAGAAAAAAATATTTTCCTTATTTATTAATGTTACTTTTTTATGTCTTCTTTCTAATACTCGTGAATTTTGAATGAAATTTTTTACAAACCCTCTGTCTCATAATAAATATGTAGAGAATATATTGAATATGTAGAATAAAAAATGAACCAGGACAAGACGTTACAATTATTTTTATATATAATGATCTTATTCTTTGAAATAAAAATTTTCATGTTTTTTTTGCTTCACATATTTGGATCCGTTTAGTCGCTATTTTGATATTTGCGTAACAGCCGGTTAAATAAAATTACTATACGGATATGCAACACCATCAGTAGTATGTCTTAATCCAAATGAAAACACCAAAAAAGGATTATCAAACATGATAATTTATCAAGTCAAACACCACTTGACCCGGAGAACTATTTTCAGCTCAATATATATAAAACCTTGAGCTTACCAGAAATGGCTGTTTGCCTGATGCTAGAAATCCAGCACTCCCAACATAAATACCACTTGGGGAGGGAACAAAGATATCAGGTGAATCTTCTTTCAGGTATTTTGTCTCGACCTTACGGCATTCCAGGTATAGCGAAACCTCCCGGCTCTGAAATGCCACACCCAGGCGTCTCCATGAACCCGTAAACTGTGGCACTTTAAACCTGAACACGTGTTTCTGGCGCGTTATATTTGTGTATTCCAGAGTAATGAAGGTATTTTGCTCATTGGAGTGCAGCTTTAAGCCGAATGCTATCCGCGAATGCGCGGGCATCTGCATGATGGTGAGCAAGTAACCGCTTCTTTGGCTGGTTGGCCGTACGATTGCAGTTATGGAGAAGAAAGGTTTGATTCTGCTGCTGAAGAAATAGCTTGCAAAACGACCGATATTCGCCCATGGCTGTAGTCTGAATGCAGGACTACTTTCTGGACCGAATGGACTCGTGGTTTTCAAGACACCGGGGGGAAGCGGGTTTTGGATGAAACTAAGAAAATCGATTTCCTTGAACGGTGGATATTGACCTGTTGGAGAAAAAGAGGTTGGTTTGAATTCGACAGACTTCGTGGTTACAGAATACTATTATAATTGGATTGACAAAGAGAGCTGTATTACCCATTCCGAGGTTGAGATTAAAAAACTGAGTCTAGTTGGCATTACAGTGCATTGGGAGGGTTTTAAGGGTCAAAACAGACATCATCTTGGAAATGTCCCTTAAAACAGTCCCACAATGCACTGCAAAGCCAACTCGACCCAGTTTTCGACTTACAGTTGGGCTACAAGTGGGCTACGCGCAGGCTAATTGTTAGTTCATGGAATAAACACTTTTGAAAACCATTAGTCGCCTTTCTAGTGAAGATCGGGAGCTCACTTCGGCCATCTGATATGAAACAGCAGTAGGGCTGTAGCAAGCAAAAGAAAAAGCACGCCGAACTCCCTCAGGAACTCCCAAGGGAAGGAGACCAAGACCATTTAGGGGTAGTTCAACCCCAAATCGAACCCCCTAAATGACAACAACAAACTCTCTAATTAAATCAGCTGGATTGTCTCTGTCTCTTCCCTGCCGTTAAGACTCCCCACCATCTTATTATCAAATCCTTGATCAACTCCAGAAGATGGTAAAATTTGATTGTTCCTAATATAGCCCCAACATCTATTTGTGGCTATAAGTGCGCTGCCGTTCCGTCTTCGTGTTTCAAAAGGTGAATTACAATGATTGATAGGTCAAAATGTTGCATTCACACAATAACATAGCTAATCTCTATTTTTTGTGAACATACCTAGAATGTGTTAACATACAAACTACACCTTATTTCTGAATTTAGCACAGATACGAGTAGCCTAACCATTTAAACTTTTAACTGTGTATTCGAAATTTTATTTTTGAGTCGCGTTTGCCGTTACGGGTTGATTTCTAACAGTGGTTTTTGTTTTTCACATATAGTCTTCAGCTCGATTAAAAATCGATAGAAATGTAGCTAGGAGAAAATACTGAGAAAGCAAGTAGGATCAATTTGTTGCTTGAAGGGTTGTCTGCGTCTATAATCAAAGAAACCCGCTTAATTATCTATGGTTTTTGGTGCAGTCGTCATACGGGAAGTGCGCCTTAAGTCGAACTTCATAAAATAATCAGTACGTGATAATCAAATTGGCTTATTCAACCACGAGGTCCAGAGAACAAGAAACCTATAAACAATTGGGCATTATGCCTACCTATTGTGGTCACGAGGGGAAAAAACATAGACATTCTTTACATAGAAGTCACAAACTGACAACGTAGCCTGAAATGTGGTTAGGTACTCTCATTAGTAACCTAGAAGTGGTTTGAAATCATTTCCAAGAGAATGGAATAGCAAAAGGAATGGCGGCCATGTTGGATGAGAAAACAAGAGACTAATGAGAACTCGTGTATACATATACATACAGATTTCCAAGATGGCGTCTATTTGGTCCCCTAAGACATTTTTACGATGCACTGCGCGCAATACCAACTCGACCCAGTTTTTTTCCCTCAATCTCGGAGTGACTATGTGCGCACTAATTTAAGGTACATGAAAACTAGTTTTAACAGACTGGTACACATAAAGGCCGGTTAAGACGGCACGAWTTTCGCCTACAACTATCGTATGAAACACGCTCGCGCCATCCTACAACTCGAGTCGTAGCGTGTAAATCAAGCCTAAAACTCGCCTACGACAGACGCGAGCGTGTTGTATACGATAGTTGTAGGCAAAAATCGTACCGTCTAAACCGGCCTTAATGCAAACAATGTAGCCCGCAGAATTGATGGTTTTCTATCATTCTCATGAGAATGAAATAACAAAATACACGGCGGCCATGTTGGGTGATATAACAAAAGAAACTAATGATGAATCATCCAACATGACGTCTGTGAAAACCATCAATAGGATTGGAAAATTACAAAAAAAAATTATTCAAAGTCGAATTCTAGACACTAAGTAGCCGTTTATCCTGCAAAGGATAACATTCTAAAACTATCATGATTATTTTTCCTCCAGTGCACCAAAAACAAAGAATCGCAGTCATCCGTTATTGCTAACAGACTTGTGTAGATGATAAAGCTTTAGAATATAAGCGGATTTACTGTAAATTAACAGTTCTGACCTCCCATAATATAATAACTATTTTAGTACAATAACCTTTGTCTCGCAATCAGATACTGGTTACACAGCTCGTGATATTATTTGTGCAATATATATTTCCTGTCCTTTTATTGCTTCAGGTCGTGCAGTATTATCTATATCATGGAAAACACTACAGACGGCGTCTAAAGAGTGGCTAGCCATATCACATAACTCTTCGCTTCAGGCCGATAACCCTCACTTATGGCATAGCTAACTGTGGTGCGGTAGTTAGAACCTGCTTTAGTATCATACCTTTTTCTTTACAGCTAACACTTGACATATGAATGGTTATCAGAGCGCGCGTAGTAGCATAAAATAAATTAACGTGCCAAGAAAACGTCGAGAAATCTATATTTATCGCGATTAGAAACATCGTTGGGAACCCAGGGGTAAAGTTCTGTCGTCGCTCGTTTCTCGCTCCCCAAAAAAATAATTTATTAATTTATTCAATAATTTTCTGGGAGCCGAGAGAGCGACAGAATTTTAGAAGTTCCCGAAATGGATTAAAAATTATTGTTATATGTGAAAAAATTCAAAACCCCTTCTYATGCCAACATGTTATTTAATCTATCAAAAATATGACTCAAATACATTCATTTTCTTATTCGCCTGTGGACATATCATGCTAATCTTCTGGGATTATATTGAATACACCCAACTGCATGGTAGACCAGACAGGTTTAACTCCATCAGATAAGACTCATTATTAGTTAGATAACAAATTTAATCATTAGATGTCTTTGTTAAGAACTCTTACAGGTAACCACACGGCGAATAACAGTCCGTGGATCCTATATTATCAGTCTTTCGAAGATTAGTTAAAAGGAAAGGATAGTATAAGTAGATCATGGAGGGTCACTCATTTTAAGCCAGGGAAAAAGGGGTTGAGTAAACTTATGAGAGCAACTAATAAGAACAAACGATACTATGAGAACGCCACAAGTTTATCAGCAACGCCGAGATACTGTCACCCGTTTTTACCATAATAAAGTCGTTATCATAAACTAAATGTTTAAAGGGGGAAGACAGGAGTCAGCAAAAAATGTGCGTCACATAAGGTTCAGATGAGGTTCAGGAAATTTGAAGGTGTACTGTCATTCCTCTGAGTATAAATGCTTGGTATACGGCATATATATTACGACGCACTGTTCTCGCAACATCTTTTAAAATAGACCACGCTATCATTGCGTCTAGAACACTATGATACTYCCGGCCTCTATAGATATAACCGACAGGAAAACTTGCGTGCACTCTTAAACCAAACAGATGGTCTTGTTCGACGACCAGAACCCACTGGGTACACTTCCGGTCTCCTAAAAGGTCTGTTGTCGAAGTGCATTGTTGATGGAACTGAAAAGTTACTTTTTGTCACAACTGAAGGCAAAAAAAAAACCGGCCGCAACGTTTTAACGTTTTTAAAATGGCTTGACTATTGGAAATTTTTAAAAAATTCCCAGTAGAAACGTAAAAAARTAAGACGTCTTTTTTTCCTTGGCAATCTAGAAATGATTAAAGAAAGCTATGGTTAGGCGCCACAGGACCCACGAACCGGTTACTGAATCAACCATCTCGTCTAAGAAATAAAACTTTTCAAACTTTACTAAAAATCTAAAATCTTAGCCGGCACGGAAGCACGTGTTTTATGAATGAGTCTCAAATATACTTATGAGTTTAGCAGATCAGTAAACTTTACCCGGCAAATAGCCATTCGATCCCTGAGAATTCCTTGACTATGCAGCCGGATATTGAAGAGTTTAAGAGGCCATTGGTGCAATGACAAGGCCAATTGAAGTTATGTACACTAGTATAACAACAACATATTAGATCGACTGCAGTGCAAACAAATACCGGCAATTCTGCCGTCTAGTGTACACAGTGTCAGTGCTAGACTAATCGTTGGCATGATAAAATATTTGCCTTGAGGCTACTCAAAATTCATGGGGATTTCTCATCTGTTTCAACATATCGACCCGAAGTAGACCAATAATTCAAGGAAACAACAAAGTGAAGGTTAGTGATTTTTGCCGAGACCGAATAAACAGTATAGTGATCAGTTCAGTGAGGTTGTAATAATAATAAAGATTTCGAGGTTACGACATGTGTATGGATGCTCTTAGTTTGTAAGGGAAATGTAAAGCCGCAGAGCCATGCGACCATAGGCAAAAAATGTTATGCGCTACTAAATATAGTTTGATAGTAAAATTATRACAAGGCGAGTGACTTACGCTTGGTTCTGTGGATGGTGGTCCGTCCGGTACAGAGTAACGTTGACGTCTGTAGCAACAGGARCGAACAGAGAAGCAAAGAACTCGACGTTTGAGCTCTCAGCGAATCAGTTTTCATACCCATCGAAGAATCAAAATTCCATGCCAGTTGGCTAAAACCAAAACCTAGAATTTACCAAAGAAATCTTCTACACTAAAGCGCAGTCGGATTGTTATTATACGGATTTAGATACTCAAGTGGCCATTAAGGAGCTCGTCAGTTATAACGTGCTATACTTGGAATGCTCTAATCGGTGAACTTCAGAAAGCTTCCAGCGGTGTGATGTTGCCACGCCTAGGTGAAGTCATTTCTAGCACCTCGAGTTGACGTGTTAGATTTACGATGTTCGACTTCGCTAACAAATTTACATATTTTACGCAACGTAATAAAAACATTTTTTGTTTATAGATTTTTTTTGAACTCTGATACTTGCTAAAAACTTTCAATTCTGAAGAAGGTTGAGAGCATCTTGATTCAATGAGGATTACTTATAAAAGAACGCGTGGATTACTCTCAACGATGATGTTCTCACACATTATCAACGAAAAACAATTAACAATCGAAGAATTTTTGCCATATTTTGATAGAGGATTCAGTGGTTTATTTATATACGATAACCTCATAGTCTCCAAACGCTATAGCACCAGCTAAGGGCCATGATCTCCGTGATACTGCAGGACAGTTTGTGTCGTCAGCATGATGCGTGACACGCTCCTTGCCTTACAAAGGGTTTTATTCAAATGACGATGAGTATCAAGAAGTCTTTGTCTTATCTATTTTTATCGATTTTAGGCGATCAATATAATTGGACAACAACATAATCATCAAGAGATCTAAATAAAGATTGACTGATTCGGAGCTAGGCATTGTAGTGCAGTCAGCGGTTCGATTTAATTTCTTTCTTTGGCAACCAAACTGAAGATTTTTTTTTTTTTTTTTTAATACTGATTTTTATTGAAAAAAAGCATTGCTGGGTTTTGGAATTATAAGCACATTTAATAGGTATTAACTTATTTAAATTTAATGGTTTCACCATCCAAGGGCAGGAAATGCCTTGGAAGTCCACGGACATCCTCAAGACATTCTACTTCACTCGAGCTGTTTTCCATATATTTTGCTTCAAACATCTCCGGCAAATTATCCTAATCTTAATACATAGGTATAGTTCCAGTAACGGACTAGAAGGCCCTTAACTCAACCAGTAGCTGAGGCTATTTAGTTCAAGTGGTTCTAGCGCCGCACTGCAAAATCAAGTTAAACGCCAAAGATATTTACCCTCGTGAGTACCTATATATGACCTATGTAAACGGCCGCAAGTTCCTATGCTAGAGCCTATTGCTGGTTTTCAATCATTCCCAAGAGAATGTAATTACAAAAGACACGGCAGCCATGTTGGAGGATATAACAAGAGACTAATGACGAATCTTTTGTTAAATCCATCCAACATGGCGGCCGTAAAAATCATCAATGCTCTCAGGGCTAAATACAGTTACCTAACTTAGTAATCTCTGTTACATCATAGTCGAGCTTGTTTCAGTTTTACTCAAAAAATCAGACCGTCCTTTGAGACCAAGCACGTTTACTGGGGGTCTTTGAAACGCAGCTTTGGTCAGATCATAAAAAAAGGGAAAACCTTTTGCCAACAATTTGTAAACGCTGCTTGCCGAGATTTTTTTCGAGCTCTGCTTTGGCCGTTASGAAGAAAAATTACCTGTGGTCACAGGGTACTACTGCTATTACTTTGACCGCTTAGTTAGGAGGCCAATAAATAGAAAGAATAACATTACCCCAGGGTAAGGACGAAACATTAAAACGAAAATTCACAAAGAAAATCTTTTTTGTCCCATGCTGAGATAACAAYACGCCCCCTGTATATAGGGCGTCAAGCAAACCTTTTCACCACAATCCCTGGGTTTTACGATCAGTAATCGTCTTTCACCCCCACGTTTTTTTGCTACCATTATACTTCCGACATCAATAAGAAAAAATATTATATCAAATATTCGCTTAGCTTGAGTATCGCCTTCTCCCTGAATAAAACCGGTTGAGACGCACTACGCATGCGCGTTCATCGCAATTATTTCATATAAAGTCAATCGCACATCATCGATTATTTCGAGAGGCAATTCATAAAGTAAGCAGACTCATAACTTACGTTCCAGAAAAGTTTTCGAGCTTATCGTTAAAAACATGAGTTGATCTCGATGACAGAAATACAGGAAAATTACAGTACGATATGATTGACGCATATAGAGTTTCGCCAGAAAGTAATAAAGTAACTACATCGGATAAAAGTAAAAATAGTGCGTAAAATGAGTGCACAGTGCGTCCATTATCTTCAATGGTGCGCGCACGGCTTATCGAGATAAAACATAAACAATGAAAATAGCTATTCCTAACCTTGTGAGCAACTTAAGAGTACAAGTTCTCAAGTTACTCAAACTAATGATGTCGCGAGTCAAAGGAGTGAGGGTTGGTTGCTTTACGCAACATAACTCGACTTGTGGTTCAAAGCGATGAAAGACTAACAGTTGACTCTTTTACCATTAGCGTGAGGTTTTCAATTTACTGACTTAAAAAATTATCGCGTTGACATAAGACATGAAAATGAAAGGCAACTTCTATTTTTAACTACAAAATAATAATAATAATAATAATAATAATAATAATAATAACGTTTGAGAAACTTTTCAAGTCTTATTAATGATTTTGTTGCGGTAGCTTGCACACTCCATAGTATTGTGATCAAGATTAAGTATTTAAAAAACATTTTAAAAAACTTACAGTGGGGGTTAATATTAGGCACTGTTAATCCATAGTTCTCATGCTAACAGATCTATATATTGTAATGGGATTCTTAATATAGCTTGAGTTGGCCAGAGTACAGAGGGGAGGGGAGAGACCCCTTGAGTATATATCAATGAAGGCTAATGTAAGACTAATTCTATACATGGCTGTTTGAAATAAATATCATAAGGCAATACTAGGTTGTCATGTCCCTCAAAATGCAAATATGATAATGGGAAAAAAAGGATGAGAATATTGAAAAATGTGCCACATCTATTCATGGGTCTTATCTTTGTGATAGGTTATAAATTCTGTACAGATTCTGTACAGATTCTGAACAGATGAGAAGATTGAACCAATTTTCTCCAATTTTCCAAGGTTTGTCCTTTTATTTAACACGATTTTTGTCATCCCCTCATAACTTTTTCATGACCCATGCCTAGATCCCAAATTTTTTTGGGAATCCAAACAAAAGCCTTTTCTATTGAAAAACTATTTAAAAAACTAAACTATTTGATTTTTTTGGATGGCCCCCCTTACCAACTATTTGATTTTTTTGGATGGCCCCCCTTACCAACTATTTGATTTTTTTGGATGGCCCCCCTTACCAACTATTTGATTTTTTTGGAAGCCCCTCCCAGCTAAAAGATGATTGGTCCCCAAGTAGTTGAGGTCAGAATTGTACTGTAATATAAACATGCTGGGAGCTGTAGAGCAAGAGAGAGGCAAGGTTAGTAACATGAGGCATAGCCGAGTGTTTCCTTTGCTTCTCCAGTGCTCTAGAGCTCTCAGAGTGTTTATATTACAATACTGAGACATAAGCAGCCGTTTTATAATTCTTTTATAAAATATTTTTGAATGATTTTGTGCAAGCATATAAACTCTGATATGAACATGGTAGCCAGCCAATCAGCGCACACATTAAATCTCAAATATTTTATAGTAAGGTAATTTTATTGCTTATCATGTATCCGTCAACACTGGATATTAAAAGTTGATACTAATATCAAGCACTTATCTAGGAGAGGTTCATTTGGTGTCCACTAATACCCCTTCTGTCCTATCACATGCCCATGCCCATAATACAGCTTGGACTGCCTGTGGTTAGTTGGCAGAACAATAAAACCCCTTTGCTCTTGGGCAAATTCTCTATCACAAGTCATTATTAGATCCC